GCTACGCTGGTGTCACCCCATCGAGCCTGCACCGCCTGGCAGGAGGTGGTCAGCCCATGCTATGGCCATGGCACGGTTAGAAGCCAGGAGCCAAGGGTGCTGCTGGGGGTACACAGGGGCGTGTGTTCTCACCTTGCTGCATACCCACATGTAGGGCAGTGTCCAAAGCAGCAGGACCCTGCTTGTGTTTTCAGGGGCTCAGAATTTCGTATCTTTTTTTCGAGAGGTTTTTCTTATAGAGCGCGTGCACTCGCCAGAAAGACAGAGAGAGAGACAGAGAGAAAGAAAGTGAGAAATCACCCCCCCAGGGGGGATGGCCACGCCGCAATCCCTTCTCCTCCATTCTCCTCTCGGGGTCTTGGGCACGCACGCACACACGCCCGGCATGAGTTTAAGCCACCGAGTCCGGGACACGAACCACAGTTGACTACATGGGAGTCCAGCGACATAGCCATTATGCTAACTGCTGGTCCCCAGAATGTCATATCTTACAGAAAGGCTCAGCCAGCCTTGGGGATGTGGCGATGCCACAATGCCACAGTGCTCCGTTACTCTGAATCTGTTTGGGAAAGTCGAGTCCGTGTCCCCAAGTCTCCTGTGCACACCAGGCATGTGCGTGGACCTGGGACCTGGGGCTGGCTGGGGCGGCGTGAAGCCTGGTTGGAAGCGCTGGTCTCTGTCCCGTGGGAAATGAACTCACAAGGAGAGAGGCTCACACCCTTTCACTCTTTCTATACATCGCTTCCAAAAAGAGGTAGGCTTTTATAACTTTGCTTTTTATTTTCGAAATGTATTTATTGAGGGGCCAAGAGGTGGCATAGCGGTTAAGGCACTGGACTTTCACATGACGAACTGCGGTTTGAGTCCTGGAACTGGTGGCTTAAACTCATGCTGGGTGTGCGTGCGTGCGTGCCCAAAATCCTGAGAGGACAATGGAGGAGAAGGGACTGTGGTCTGGCCATCCCCCCTTGGGGCTGGTTTTCTCGCTTTCTTCTTCTCTCTCTCCAGCAAACGCACGTGCCCTATGGCAAAAATCTCTCTCTCTCTCTCAAACAAAAGAAAAAATGTTCATAGATTTTTAAATTTGCTATAGGGTGCGTGCACTTGGCCAGCATGAGACAGAGAGAATGAGCGAGAAATCACTCCCTGGGGGATGTCCACACCACAGACCCTTTGCATGCGTGGGCGTGCACACGCATACACCTGGCACGTTTTTCAACACTAGGCCCGAGACTCGAACTACGCAGTCAGCCACGTGGGATCCAGCTGCCTTAGTCACCATGCCTCCAGCTGGCCCCAAGAGTTAGGTTTTACCATTTTGAAAATGTACCTCCACATGGAGGTGTGCGTTGCATGCACATGCATGTCTGCACACGTGTGGGTGCACATGTCCACCCCGTGTCTGCTTCTGGGGCCTGGCTGGCCCTGTGTAGGGCCCGGAATGCATCTCTGCACTTCTGATCAGCTGGGGCTCCCAGGGACCCCTTACCTTCCCCTCGTGCTGAGTGAGGCCTTTGCCCAGCCAGCTGTGGAGGGCTCTGTCCACGCACCCAGGCGGGGCGCTGGCACGGGTCTGTCCCCACTCCTGTGCGGAAGCGGCGAGCCAGCGGCTCCCCGCAGGGCACCTGCAGAGATATTCCAGGGGATATGGCTCTTTTTGAACTGGAATTACATCATTAGTACCTGCCAGGATTAAGGGCTGACATCGGGCTTATCCACCCTGACATCACCTCCTCTGTTCAAAGACTGAGGGGGGATCCGACAAGCCCACCCACGCGTAGCCTCCCCCAGCTGGGAGTTCTTCCGTGTGAGGTTCTGTGCATGTGTGTCTGTGTGCGCATCTGAGTGTAGGTGCCCGCGTGTGCGTGTGTGTGCATGTATGTGCCCACACGTGGCGTGTAGCGTTGAATGACAGGAGGGGATCCTAACAACTAGAGCGAATATTTCCGATGGCTGCTGGGGCCCTGCATCCTCCGCTGTCCCCTTGTCTCAGGACCCTCAGTTTTTTGCCCTGGGCCTGGGTGTGGCCTTCCAGCCTGGCAGGTTCAAGAGTGTTCTGCTCACAGGTGACGTTTTCCAAAGAGTCACCCGCCCCTCCAAGCTCAGTTTCATGCTTTTGCTGCCCCGAAAAGCATGTCCCCACTCCCACTTAGCCCCCGAGGCCCAGAGGCCCCAAGGTAGCACCCTACTCAGGGCAGACGAGAGCCCTGCGCTTCCAGCTGCCACCTGCCATCACTGCCACGAGGCCCCGCACCGTCCCGAGCAGGTAAGCAGGTACACCAGCCACTGACCACACACACCCTTCACCACTAAGCAATTTGCAGATTCGACAGCACAGTTTGTCATGTCCTTCGACAGCTGTGCCTCTGGGGAGTGGCTTTGCACCCCGGGACGGCCTGTTTGCACAGTGCACGCTCAGCCGGCGAGCGCGTGGCTGGAGGCCCCCCTGGCGGCCACGGCTCTCACGTCTCTGTGTCCTTCTCTCTGACAGGTTGGTGGTCGGCGCCAGCTGTATCCTTCGCCAGCAGGCAGGCAGCTGTCCTGGGGTGTGGAGGCTCCTTCCCTAGAGCCTCCCCAGCTGCCCTCGCTCCTGCGGGCACTTGGCTGCCCCAGAATAGGCCCTTAGGGGCACCCTGGGGTGGAGGACTGGCCTGGGGACGGTGTGAGGCCCAGCTGCTGTGGCCAGGGCTCCTGTGAGGCTCCCCGAGGCGGTAGAACCGGCTGGGGGTGCTGGGCACGGCTGGCGGCAGCACTAAGTCCTCCCTTGGGAGCAGCCCACCTGGCTGCCCATCAGAGGGTGCAGTGGATCCGGGAAGGGAGCACG